TTTGATATGTATGGTATTGGTTATTTTGGAGAACTCGCTAAGCTTTGTGCTTACGGTTTTTAGTTTATGTTTTAGGTACTTTCGGATTGAAAAGGAAGAGCCCGGGATGATTGCAGAGCACACACCACCTTTTTTTGCATTTTGAGATTTACTCTGATATGATATGATGTAGTGACATACTTTGGTCTTTTGGGTTGTATGACAATGTTTTGGATTAGTGTTTTTATAAAATTAAAAATGAAATTTTTGGTTAATGTTTTCGGGACGTTACAAGTTGGTATCAAAGCCTTAGTTTGAGCGATTCAGACATACTCTCGGGTGTGTCTGAACTCAAACTGAGGGTTTGGTAAAGTTTTTTGAAAAGAAATGTTTTTAAAGAAAAGGGTTTTCTAATACAAGAGAGGGTGTGGTGCATGCAATCGACCAAGCTCAAGTAAGTTTTCTCAAAATACTCATACATGTTATTTATTATGATTTGTATTGTGAATCTATGAACCGCATGCTAGTTACGGCTAAGGATCTGTTTAGTGTATGCATGATAGAATTCTAGGAGAGATTCCTTTGTATGCCTATTGTATGAGCTTGTAGACTTGCATGCTAGTACTGATCAGTCATTGTTAGATTGACCGGATATGTGATGCCTTGTAGCCTAGGAAGCATGGGATGCTAGATTAGGAATATGTATTGGTATCGGGGATTGCTAAGTGTATGCTTTGAAAATTGTATATGGTTAGGATCATATAACCCTATTATGATTGATTTGGCCTTATTTCATGCTCCTTGCTTGGTTATGGTCTTAGGGTTTAATCTTCTATTCGACAGTTTATTTGATCCTATATTGTGTATAATTTGCATGCGTTAGGCAACCAGCAGCGAGAGTGGAAGTTCCTAGCAGGAGTTATTGTATGTGACTTGGATGTTCTTGGTTATTCTATGGATTTTAGTACTACTACACGAATGTTGCTTGCTTTGTGTTTTGTGGAACTCTTAAGTGATGTAAGTTAGCTACTAAGTGAATACGTCAAGTTACATGTGACGAGGGTTGAATAATCTCAGAGTGACGGATTTGACCTATTGCACAAATCTCGTTTGAGTCTAACTGTTGTAGGGACGAGTCTTTTACTTGAAGGATTATGTAATATTTGTTGTATGTGATTGTATTCATGGGGTACAAAACTGACATTATAGGGAGTTCTTCAGCAGCTGATGGCAGTGTGCGGTCGGAAACCTAGGAAAGCCTAGGAAGTGCTTCAGTGGGTTTAGTTGTGTTCTTTAACGAGCATTTGTAGTATCGGTTGAGAATGTGACTTAGAGGATTCGGGATGATTCTCGAGGAAAGTGTATATAGGTGTGGAAGGTAGTATTGGGGCCGTACTACTGAAAGCACAAGATCCATACTCGAATCGAGGAGAGTCTTGGAGAATCTAGGATACCTGTGGGATGAGGATTTTTGGGTATGATCTGATCATTTGTATGGTTGTTTTTCAGAATGTTGATGATCTCTTAGGAAAGAGGTTCGGGTTAGAGTTCAGGCTCAAGTGCATGTACTGAGCTGACAATGAGCACATGCGGGAGCTCATCTCGTCGAAGATTACCCGTGATATTTTGAAGTGGACTCCTGTGATCTTTGGTTCGGTCAAGGAGGAGATTTTGGAACTCTTGGATGGTCATCTCGGGGATTTTCATACCGAGATTGTAGCAAGACGGTTGTGGTCCCTACTACTGCTAGCTCTTGTCATATGGGATCAGAAATGGGTTATGTATCATATTTTCAGGAGGATCGATACCATGATTGGATTGTCACAGAGGTTTTGCGAGCTTTACACGAGGAGTTACCCGACATCATTGGACTTGTCACTGATAGATTGGTCGCCAGGTTCGAGGGTCGGACCTTGGCTAGTCAAACGGTTGTTGGGATGGTCGGGGTAACTCAGGAGCAGGAGATTGGTTCGGATAGGCGACTGGTGAAGAGGAACCGAACTCATAGTTCGACTCGGCGGGAACAGTTGGACGCTGCCATGGCTTGTGTTAGAGACCTAAAAGGCCGTAATGTTTTCATGAAGGATGAAGGGGCACATGAGTGTGTGAATGACAAGTCGAAATGCGGCAGATACGGATGGAAGGGCCACCTCCGCCAAGAATGAACCCTGTAGGATGAAGGGGCACATGAGTGTGTGAATGACAAGTCGAAATGCGGCAGATACGGATGGAAGGGCCACCTCCGCCAAGAATGAACCCTGTAGGTAGAATTGTGTCATCGTTGTCATCAACATGGTCATATCAGGGTAAATTGCCCACGCTTAGTGGTTAGGGTAGCTCAGGTTCCATCGTAGGTGCTTCGACAGGAAGAGGAGGTTGGGATTTCATCGGATGTTATTGCGGGTATATATTTTTGCTTTCCTCTTGATTATTATTAGTATTTATATTGCTTTGGGGTCTTATTGGGTATGGGTAAGCATTATCTTTGGGTTAGTTCTCTGTTATTGCGTGGGTTATATCATCAAGAGTTATGTGCCATTTTACATGCAAGAGTCATTAGTGGACTCTTTGTGTGAGTTGGGATCCAACTTTTAATGGGATGTTATTTTGTGATTGATAGCGCGAAGATTTTTAGCGGATCTGCAGCCAAAAATTTATCTATGGGATTCAGCAGTCTAAGGTGAGTTTCCTCACTGTGTTTAGTGGGTCGAAGGCACCAATGGCGTTAGGATGCTAGGTACCTGCATGGCTCTTGCATCCGTATGCGCTACTATGTTACCAAGCGGGGCTCAATGTCGGGTGGAGCCTGATGAATGTATTGTATGATACTGTTTTGTGATTATTGTATGTGTTTATATGTTTATGTATTTATATGCTTACCAGGCGGGACCTGATGACTGACAGATCTGTATACCGAGCGGTAGGGCCGGTCCTGAAAAATGAAATATTCTTAAAGGCCCAGGACGAACATGAAAAAAATGTCCTTATCTTTATTATAATTTTGTATTTTTAAATAAAAATATATAATCAAAAAAATTGAGCACTATGCAGCTGCCCACTTTGTCCTCCCTCGAAACCCCCCATGCCGAGCGGGACCCGATGGTAGGCGGGGTCCATTATGTGTTTGTTATGTATGGTATGGGGTATTTTGGGGAACTCACTAAGCTTTGTGCTTACGATTTTTAGTTTATATTTCATGTACTTTTAGATCGAAAGGAAAGAACCCAGGATGATTGCAGAGCACACACCGTATTTTTTCTGGATTTTGAGATTTACTTTGATATGATATGATATAGTGACATACCTTGATCTTTTTGAGTTGTTTGACAATGTTTTGGATTACTGTTTTTATAAACTTAAAAATGAAAATTTTTGAGTTTTATTTTCTGGACGATACACAAATCAAAATATTGAAAATTTCTAAGGTACTTTAACTATAATTTTTTTAAAGAATACCAAAAATTTTACACGTAACTGCACAAAATATTAAAAACATAGATTTTCACAGATGAACATTTTCTAAAATATATAGTTACATGCTAAAATATTCTACATAATAGTTTCTAATTTTTGTGCTAAAGTTAATAAAAAATATAAGTAGAGATAAAAAAAAAAGTTAACTAATTGGGGAAGATCCTTGTCTTTCATAATCATTTTTTCATAGAGAATTTTGTAGTATTATGTGAAAATGCATTGTAAAAATGAGAAAAATATTTTTTTATTGGTTATTATACTCTTCCATTGCATCGATAGTTTTCGCAATCAACATGTCTAAAACTATCGTTTTGGCAAAAATAATAATAATCATAATAATAATTTCACTTACGATCAATTTTTTTCATTGTTTTTTCAAATGATCATTTGTGAAAATTATGGCTATTTAGATTGTTTTTTTTTTTTATAGCTATATGATTGTAAGAAGTTTTAAAAAATAATTATTATAGTGGATATATCTATTTAGAACTTTATAGCAGGGATGAACATTAGAACAACTGGAACTGGAAAAGACCCAAAATCGGATCGGAACCGAACCGGATTTAATAAAACGATTCAATTAGCGGTTTTCTACTTATAGAAAAACAGGTCTTGTTCCATAAAAAACCAGAACTGGTTTTTAAAATTCCATAACTCACTCATATGAAGTCGGAATTACTTGATTTTTTTTTCCGAAATGTAATTTAGTATTTTTACTTAATTTTAGACTATTAGAAAACATATTTTGGTTAAATATGAAATCATATACAAACATTGGAAGACAACATATCAATGCTGCGTGTTTTTATGTTTCAACATAATTTTTTTTATTCTGTTCCAGTTTTTAAAATACCGTAACTTACTAATATGAAGTTGGAAATATGTGATTTTTTTAATACATGTACTTGTATTTGTACTTCATTTTAGTCTGTAACAAATCATATTTTGCTTAAATATTGAATCATATACAAAGCCCGAAAGACAAACATATAAATGCTGCATTTTTTCTATTCAGCACATTTTTTTAAAAAAATTTTATTACAGTTTTTAAAATATCGTAACTTAATCATTTGAAGTCTGAATTACTTGATTTTTTTTCAATATATAATTTTGTGTTTGTACTTTATTTTAGAATCTAAAAAATATATTTTGGTTAAATATTGAATCATATACAAGCCTCGGAAGACAGCATATCAATGCTGTGCTTTTTTTTTTTTAAATAATTTTGTCTCGGTTTTTAAAATACTGTAACTCACACATATGAAGTCGGAATTATTTGATTTTTTTCCAACATATAATTTAGTGTTTGTACTTCATTTTAGAATGTAAAAAATCGTAGTTTGGTTAAATATTGAATCTGATACAAATCTGGTAAAACAACGTATCAATGCAGCGTTTTTTTATTTTTTTAATATGAAAGTTTAATTATCTTTTATTTTTTGGAAGCCAACTAAACTACGTGTATATATTATGAATCGTATCATCATTAGTTTCATCTTCTTTATAACCGGTTCTTGTTTGAAAAAATAACCAAAAACCAGAATCAGATCGGAACCAAGGTTACTATACCGATTCCTGTCTGGTTATAGACTTTATCCCTACTTTATAGTGTATATAATATATACTATTGTTTCACAAAGTATAAACCAAATTTTGGCCATGAGCTAAACATGATTACCCGTCATTACGTCAAGTATGCTGTCCATGGTCCGGGTCTCCGGGATTCGGAAATTATTGTGTGTATTATTTTTATTTTTCATTTTTTCTGAAAAATAAATGTTATCTGCTTGATAGGAGGAAAGTCGTTTGTCTATCTGTTGGGAAATCAGCAGAATCACTTGTATCCGTGTAAACCCTAATTTTGGCGCTTCAAAACCCTATCAACCATAGTCGAGAGATAAATCAAGATGGAAGAAGACGGTATAGGTATGGTACTTGCTCGAGCTTCGGAGCTGCGGTCCAAGATCACCAACTGCATTCACAATGCATCATCTATTGATGCCACAACACTAGAGGGAGGAACAGAGTATAAAGAAGAAGCAGATGATGAAGAAGAAGAAGCCGAGAGCCTTTTGAACATTCGCGATTCCCTCGAAGTCCTTGAGGCTCAACTTTCTTCTTTGCAGGTGTGTTTGTGCTCTTTCGATTGAATTTTTACGGGGATTTATAGAAACCCTAATTCTGGACTCCTCCACCAGCTTTGTTTTGATTTGTGACTTGAAACCTTGTAATTATGATGGGTTTCGTTACAATTTTGGGTTGATTCAATTCTATTGGTAGTTCTTGTCATGACTCATGAAGTTAATGCAGATATCGCCAATGAACGCTAAGCTGTACATTCCAAAAGACTCTGTTTTGTTTTCTCGTACATCAAATCAATAAACGTAGTAATTATGTAGATATATAATAGTTGTTCCAAAGAGACTCCATGTTTCTTACCAAATGTTCTCACTTTCCTCTAATTTCAGTCATTACAACAGCAGCAATGGTATGAAAAGGAAACATCTCTCACTGAGATCGATTACAGTCGCAAAAAGCTGCTACAGAAGCTAAAAGCATACAAAGGGGAGGACTTAGATGTCATACGTGAAGCCACTGCTTTTGCTAGCTCAACAGTAGAGAAAGAAAACAACGATCTTCTTCTTCCTCCATACCCAACTCGCCCTTCTCCCTCTCTTGATCCTGACAACGGTTACCTATCACACTTCTCTTTAACACCCAAAATACACACAAATGGCCCTCCAAATGGTCAACCAAAGGGAAGTTTCCATCATTCAGAACCCAAAACCTCGTTACAGGGGTTGAGACAAATTATGGTTGCAGCTGCAAAAAGGGTATTTCCAATTGTTGGTTTTATAGCTGCTCTGCATTTATCTGGTTTTGAATTCGGTAGAAGAGGGAGTCTACCCAAGGTGGTTTTGGGCATGTCTCAAGAACAAAGGAATCAAGAAAAAGGAGAAATGATGGTTGAATGTCCACCCGGGAAGGTTTTGGTTGTTGAAAATGGTGAAAGTCGATGCCTTGTGAAAGAAAGAGTGGAAATTCCTTTCAAATCTGTTGTCACATTACCTGATGTAAATTATGGGTGTGGTTAAGTGATTCTTTTTTCATTCCATTGTTTGTATATCCAGTTTCTTATGGAAACCATGTTAGTAAATCTGCTTTTAGGATCAAGAGTGCTGAGTTCTTTCTTCTCTTCCCAAGATAACCTTCTTTATACATACATATATCCTACCCTTTTGTACAAATTTATGTCACATTAACTAAAAACCTTAAAAACACAAACTAGTTTATACACTAATCTGACATTAAAGCACCAACAACACCAGCGATTAAAGTAGTCGGATCACCAAGAACAGCTGATATCACAAATTGCAAAGCTAAACCAGCTATCTTACAACATTTCTTCATTCTCCCTTTAGTTTTCTTATGATAATTCTTCATAAGTGTCCCCTTCAAACTAGGAATTTTTATCTCCACATTCCAATTTTCCCCATACATATAAACCTCACCATAACATATGTCATGCCAACTCTCCATCAACATCTCCTTTGCACACGCCACATGCAAGTTATACTTCTTGCATACCGACCTATAGCTCCAGCTCCGCCCTCTGCCGCCACACCGGTGGCAGGATGACCTCACTTTCCGGCACAAGTAGAGCTTAACCTCACCATCATCCAAGATTGTTGGAAGCTTTGCACAACATGGATGTAGGTCAAATCCGCACGCGTGGCAGTGGTAGACAAACCCTAAGATGTCTTTTTCACAGGCGTTACAGTAGCGGGGTAGTGAGCCTGGTGGGGTGGGGAGGAATTGGAATGTGCATTTGGTGTAAAAAGGGTGGGAGATTGAAGGGGAAGGGAGAGCACAATGGATGTGTAAGTTGTGGTTACATGTGGTGCATGTATAGTTGGATCCTATTCCAGCTTCTTTGCAACCATTGCATTTGAAGGGGATTTGGGTGTAATTGTGGTTGAGGTTGTGTTCATGGTGGTTGAAATTGGAAATGTAAATTTGATTGTATTTCATGGTGGATGGGTGGAAAGGAAATACAGATTTAGAATGTTGGATGATTTCTTTATAGATGTGAAATCTTGGATTTGTATGTGTTCCTTTAAAGGCTTAACAACTAGTAGTCTTGATTGTTAAAGAAGAACAAGTAAGAATAACTTTTTGAGGAGATTTGATGGGTAAAATGGTAAAATGACGAAATGCGTAAATGATTGTTTGGATAAAATGTTGTGTACAAATAAAATATGAATATGAATAAATAATTATTTTACCTTACGTTTAAAAAAAAATATATTCATAAAGTTGGATTTTTGGCTAAACCCATTAGTTCATTCTGTCTAAATCAAGTCAAAACAAAACAACAATGTAATGTTTAATCCATTAAATAAAAAAGAAAAAACCGGTTAGCTTGTATTGTGATTGGGGTTGGCAAAGTGTGAAGCCAAATATTACTTTTGATTTTCTTTAACTTGGAGATTTGTAGAATTAAGTTTGGAAAAGCATGCATGGGATGGGACATGCCATCTCATGGCTTCATCTATAAGACTATAACTTCATATTCCACAATCCTAAAAGCTTGAGAATTAGGTTTAAACATGTGACATAGTTATATGGCGTTTAGATTTTTACTTGTAGATTGATCATGTGTGGAGATTTTTGCACTTGTCCTTTAAATGGGTTTTTGGAAGCTCGAACTAGAAATAACATGTTGCAACTTATTTAAACTAAATAAAATAAGTTAGTGTGGATGATATTGATTTTCATTTATTTGTTATTTGTTAGCGTTAAGGGTATTTTAGGTGCTTTAGATATTAGAGGATCCAAATATTTATTGTTTATGTTTAGGTATTTTTATGTCTATGACCAAAAAGTGGCAATTTAATTAATTATTGAAACGCATACTCTTACATGTCTTTTTAATTAATTTTATATATTTCAGTTAGTTTTACCAAACATTTTTTATCAGTTAGTTTTTCAGCTATCAACTAGTTTTTTATTTAATAACTAGCAACAACTAGTTTTTCATCTAATACGCCAAACATAACCAATATTATGATGCAAGTGAAGTTAACTCATTTGGTTTTGTTCGTTTTGCAATTTAATATGAAATTTACATTACAGTATTTCAAACAATTATATTCAATATATATTTTTTTAAATAAATATTAGACATAAAAAATGTAATATAACAAATATTCGGGTCCACAAAATAAAAATGAAAATTAAGACAAATTAAAATGCTATTAAATGATGTAGATGATGAGCATTTGTTGGTAGTTGGTACATACTATTTATTGTAAGTACTTAAAGACATTGGGTGTCTTATCGTCCTACACTATGATGGATTACTATGCAATGGGAACCAAGTGAGAATGATGTGAAAATGCGAATGCTCAAAATTTATGGGAAAAATCTTTGTTTTTTTTATAATTCTTATAAAAAGGTACCTTTTAATGTTGAAACATAGGATTTGATTTCGGATTAACTCCAATTTGAGACTAGTTCAAGACCATTTGAAATTAGAAATGTTAGATTTTGGGTTTTAAAAATATCAATAATGTTGTTGATTTAGCTGTTTGTTTTTTCATAAATAAAATGTTTGCAATCTACTCACTCCTTCCACCCTGGGGTTTTCCAACCCCATATGCATCCACCCATTTGTAGTCATCATTCCTGTTTTTAAGGATACAAATCAAGGCTAAAGTTGATCCAAAGAACTCCTTAAGATGCCCAAAAAGTATCCTTAGTTTCTACACACATCTATCCCATGTGTTAACTCTTCGACTTAATGATTCAAAGTTTGGATTTACTCTTTAGTTTTTCTTTTGTTGCTTCTGAAGGGAGTAACATCAAGTTTGTCACGGTGTCACATCAAATTTGTCACAATGCAGCAAAAATTTGTCATTTGCATAGCTACTTTTTTTTTTCTAAAATTAATTTATATAAAAATAATCGATTGAACCAAATTATTTTAAAACTAAAATTTCATTAAACTTCAACGAAAATTACAACAAACAAACCAAAAAAAATTTAGAATTTAAATAAAATCATATAAATTAAAATTACCAAACCTACATATACCTAAAGGACATCTTCATCGGAAAATTGACCATCTAAATCATCGACCGGTTTCGCGTTAAGATCAATGTGGTTGACGATCCAAATATGTTTCATCAAATCTCTACAAAGAACATGATGCATCTTAACATCATGAATTATTGCCCTCCTCACCAAGTACTCCTAGCATCCAACCTCAAAAACTTGTGTTAGTGTAACGATCTCGTTTCGTTATATTCACATATTGCATTTCATTCGTCTTCAAGAATCATATTATGCAATATGATACAAGTATACATCACCTCACTCATTTTCTTCTCCTCCATATGAGGTGTAAGATATTTAAGAATATGTTAACGTTTTTTCAGAACACCAAGCGATCGTTCAACATCCTTTACTGGCGTTCAACATCCTTTCTCGTATTCTCTTGAGCTCTCTTAAACTTCTACCTTTTGTGATCATTTAGAAAAGACAGTGACTTCACAAAACAAGCATGTTCCGGATAGATCTCGTTCACAAGATAATACTTATTCCTATAAGACATTCCACACACTTGAAAGGAAGAATCTGGTACAGTCTCGTTATACATAATTAAATAACAAATATATGTTAAGAACATTAATTCCCTTAAAGGAAACCGTAGAACCAAAGACTGCATACCATATCCGCAAATCTTGTGAGACCACCTAGGCTTCCTAACATTTTAGGGAAGCCGTGCAGATTTTAATGATGATCATACAACTGTTGGACGTCGCTATAAGTAGGTTTGCACAGATATCGTGGACCATATAATCTCATGATATACTTACAAATTTTGTGAAGACTTTGTCGTGCAGTACGTCCGGAAATCCTATGATTCTGATCTAATTCATCAGGGGAAGTGGCATACACTAATTGACGAAGTATGGCAGTGTATTTTTATAAATGAGTTAAACCAAATGTACCTCTAACGTCTGAACATCATCCGGCACACATCATCTGCATTTTGTTGCCGTAGTTCTTCGATATTCTGTTCAGCCTCCTAAATGACCTTTATGGCCATTTCAAGCAACGCATCAAACATGCCCGATGAAGCCGATGAAGATGACATTTTTAAAGAGAATGTTTAAGAAGTAGAAGATGGTTTTGATGTGTTAAATGAATGAGAGTTAGGTTACATTTATATGAATTTAAAACAAATAAATAAATAAACCAGAAAGAGTTGTTGCCCCCATTGCCGTTGCCCCCATTGGTCCACTACACTCGGTCAAACTCGGTAGATTTACACCGAATTGCCAAACCGAGCTTAGCTTGCTGAGGGATCGGCCCGGTGAACACCGAGGTCGTCGAGACTCGACCCAAAGCCAGTGTCCGGTCTAAGTAGATTCACCAATGTTGGACCTTATCTTAAAGGTCAAAATACACTTCACCCAATGTCATCATAATTTCTATATGTTATATATGAACTTAAATGGATATTTCGGTGGCACACCACATCAAAAACCAAAATAGTTCGACATCCGTATCAAAAAACATTTCATCCAATGTCATAATAACTGCTATTTTCTTCAATATACAATATACAATGTTGTAAAAAAAATAAAAAATAAAATAAAACTGAAAGCACAATGACATAGTACAGAGAAAAGAAATTACATTGCTATTTTTTGCATTTAGCCTGTTAAGACAAAAGATACCATTATCTTCTTTTTGCTGCTGCTGAACCATATGAAACAATTGGTTTCAAGGTATTTTTATCCCATTACAGCAATGCACTTTCATTTCTTTCTATTACAGCATTGCAGTTTCAAAAGAAGAATCTTTTCAAGGCATTGCACTTTTAAAAATCTACCAAATTACAATTTGTATTTAGATGACATTGCTATAACTGGTAGATTTTTCACTGTACAAAGCTGTAATATGAAAAATTAAAAGACAATTCAAATTTTGCATATATGTTGTAGGTTCCAAGTACAAAATTTGACAAATCAGTTCTTCTGTCACTGGGATCCACCCGAGTAATCTCCAATTTAATTTGGCATATTCCCAATTCGTGATCACAATATCTTGTAATTTACCTTCTGTATTGCCACCTACCTCCCTTGACTACTAATCATGATTAACATGTTAAATGATACTATTAGAACAACAATCTAACTATTTTATAAGAAAGCATTTTTTAGGTTTTAAGAATGGAAAGAGAGTTGTTATTGATTGTCCAAAAGACATAAATACCATCATCACCAATAGTACCGATGTCCAAGTATTTTGCTAATAATAATATGATTGATTATATTACACATGGCATAGATTAAAACTAAGTTGAAGATTCATTCCCAAAACATCCATTATATCCCCTACTAAACCACAACCAAATACAAATCTTTATGCAGACCAAAAAAAAAAAAAAAAAACATGAATATGAATATGAAATTATGAATTATTATTATTATTCCAAGGTTTTAAGAAGGCGAAACAAACCTGCAGCTTCTCGGATCCTAGAAAACTCGATACAAAAGGCCTGAACCTCAATAAACAAATCCTGAACATTAATGATCTTGTTGCGGATCAAACTCTGCAGAAAAACACACACGAGCCTCACCAACCGGTTCTGCATGTACTTATCCTTAATATTCTCACACGATGATATACAATTGGTTATGTACATGTGGACAAACTCAGTCGGCAGTTCAACCGCAGTGGTCAACCGGTTGACCACCTCCATCGAATGCAAACTCATGTCCATATTCACCAGAACCGTAAAATACTCTGAAATTTCCGGCGAGTTCATCAGCTTAATCAGCACCTCCACCGCAATCAGAGGGTTGTTCTCCACCAGCTCCGGCAGCTTCCGTGGCGTTAGACCGCAGTGGTACACCAGTTTGGGGTCGGAGGTTAGCTCCAGTAAAACCTGTTCCTGTTGAGATGGAGCTAACGGTCCTTTTAGGGCTTTTAGGATCAGTTCACGGACGGCTGCACCACGGCTCGTGTCGGCACACATCCCGGTGTCCCAAAGCGGTTCGTGAGTCGACTCAGGGTTGACCCAGACGAGCTCACCTTCTAGCACCGGGAGGCGAGGCGGTGTAGGGCGGGCCCAGTGAGGGTAGAGCGCTTCCAATGATAGAGTTTGGATTAGACCGGTTATGGTCTCTGGCGGCGGGAACTCCAACTCCGGTGAGCTGATGTCGGGATCCGGTATCGCGTTTTTTATCGCGGTGTTTTTGAAGAGGGAATTGACCGGTTTGGGATGGGGGTTTTCCGGCGGTGGTGGTGGCGGCGGCTCCGGGAACCGGTGAGATGAAGGATCGAATTTGGTAATGAAATCCGCCGGAGATAGTTTCATCACGGGAGATGGAGAGGATAAGAGATGAAGGATGAATGCACGTTCCAAAGTATCGGTTTTTTCGTCATTTGCAGTGTTTGTGAGCAAAGAAATGTAGGGATTGGTGGAGGATGATTTTAGGGGGGAATATGTGTGGTGAAGTAATGCAAATGCAACCAATCGTTCTGTGGATTTTAGGAATTTTGGGGTGTGGGTGTCATCCAAGAGCATGACAAGTGCTGACAAGATTTCATTTTGCATTGATTTTGGGATTTTTGAGGAGAAATCGTTTATGATGTCTTCAAGGACTCGTTTTTCACCATCTTTAAGTAGGGAATAAAGGATCGTTGTTGATGCTTTCGTGATCATCTTCATCTATTATCTATTAATTAACAAAATAAACTACAAATTAGTCTACTTTATAAGCAAACTTATGCATACAAATAGCAACATACTTTCACAGCCTTGTAGCATTCTACTTTTGGTTTTTCTATCTATTACAACATTTTTTCCTACTTTAAGAAATGAAAATTGATTTGAATATATTGAGACTAACAACCATGGACAAAAAGGTAACTATGCATCTAAATTAAACATCAATTCTATTAGATAAGTTAGATACTCTAATACAAACAGTAAGTAAAGCAAACAGTAGAGCAATGGAGCCAGGTAAGGAACTAAAGATGGATGTACTCTAATATGTCCTAAGCTAAGTAATAGATTGAACTTAAACGTTAGCTATTCAAAACAAGAAACATGAATGCTGTATGATATATAATTATAAATTTAGGAATTAGGAACAAGTATTACATGGCTTCTATTCATGTATTATCCTGTCCTATGGATAATAAACCAAAACTTAACCTAACATCATACGCCAATTCTGAAACTTTGACCTTTGCTCAAATTACTTCCACAAGCTTCTCAAGTATATAAGATTGTTCCATCAATCACCAACGCCTTTCATATTAATCAACATGGAAAAATCGAGAAAGCAAATAGATCGCAAACTCAAAACAGAAGCAAACAGAAAGCAAACGAAAAATAGATGGAGAAATCGAGAAATCAGAAGCATTAACAGAAGATTGATGTCGAGAACTGCACCTGAACGAAGATAGATGTCGAGTTGGAGACTGGAACCTGAGACTGAGAGGGATCGAGATGTTGCTTGCAGACCAACTCACTTCAGCTTAATCGATTGTTCCATTGACATTTGACAGATCGAGATCGATATTCCTCACTTCACGAATTCACTGTCTTCGTCGATGAGAGCATGAGGGAGAGAATTGAGAAATCTGCGATGCGAGACACAGATGATTTAGGGTTACCGGTTACTTTGCTCCTTTTTTTTTTTTTTTTTTTTAACAGCAAGATAAAACGGGTCGGTTTTACACATAATGGGCCGATTCGGTTTTCAACGGGTTTAAACATAACCCAACTCAAGAGGACTCTCTAATAAATAAAACCATTTTGCCACCTGCTTCATTCCAAAACATTCATTTCATCCAAAGTTAAATTCCAGATTTAGCTTGATACTCCTTTAAATTAAATCCGGACTATTCAATACTCTTAATTTAAACTTGATTTTGTTCATGATTTTCAGCAATTTCTTCGATTTACTTCACTGTAGAATCACATTCATGTATAAAAGTCTCACTAAATCACCTACCGATTACCAAGATTTATGCGTTTATTGTCGAGGCTATTTTTAGATTCGATCAGCAATAACTATTGGAGGAAGAATAAGGTCGATTACCACCACCATTGTCGCCATAGCATCAAGGCATTGTCATCCATCTCCACTATTGGGTTTAAGAGTTTAGTTGCTGGTGATATCAATGTTGCTTCTTCTACTAAAAAGGTAACATCATATCTCTTTGTTTTAAGTTACAACTATTTCATAAGGCACGCTAATTGTTCGATTATTTGACCAAATGAAAACTGTGATGTGTATTTTATCACAAAATGTTATCTTTGCCTCCTTTGGTGTTTCGTTTTAACCTAGAATACCATGGTAGTTTGAGATGACAATTAATTTTGTATTTAAGTTTGGTTTATTTGTCTTTTGACAGGAAGAGAAGACTTGGCCATTACCGATGTTTTAACTTTTAAGAGTGTGATGTAAGTGATAGTATTGCTATTATATATGTGATAAAAAAACAATGAATTCATGGTGATTGATCCTTTTTAATCCCTTACTTTACGTGATATTTACATTTACTGACATTAGTCTATCGTATTTATTATGTTAATTATAATGTTTGTTTTAGTCGGGATCTTCTTCATGATTTTCCAATGATGACACTATTAAAGAATATGACAAACGATGGTTCTTTATATTATGAATGATAAGCATGCTATCTTTTGGGTGAGACAATGTAACACCTGGTTCCTGATACGTATTTTTAAATTAAGTATTTTGCATTTTGGCCTGGGACTCGGCAAGTTGGTGGCCCAACTCATCGAGTAGAAGCGGTTTGGACACGGGAGTTAAGTGGCTGACTCGGCGAGTCAGAGATCGGACTCGACGAGTCCGTGCTGTCTGGACAAAAACCCTAATATGAGGGTTTGCACCATATATAAACGCCTTAACTCGACCTCCATTGTGCCTAACACTCTCCTAGAACTGCATATCGAAACCCTAGTCGTTTGTGTGTGTGTGTGTTAAGGCCATTTTGGTGCTTTTGTTGACTTGTGAAGCTTGGAAGGAAGAAGAGGAGGTTGAGTATTCGACTTGGGGCTTGTGGATCCAAAAATCTCATTCCATCTTCAGCTTAATCAAGGTAAAATGCTCTTGCTTTGGTCTTCCATTTGGTTGTTCATCTTTGGATTATAGATCTTGGGTGCATTTAGGGCTTTCAAGCCATTTTCGGATTTAAGGAGTGTTATGTGGACTCTAGCCTTCATATCTGTGCCTTAAGAGGGGTCTCATGGCATAAAGGTGCCAACTTTAGGGCCATGAGAGCCCCATGCACATTGTAGGACACTTTATATGGATTTTTGAGCTAAAAACCCCATGCATGTGCATCAAGTTTGGAACTTTACGTATAAAATGGATATTAGGAGGCCAGATCTATGGTTTTGGTGTGTTAGACCTCATTTAAATCGACTGTATGGAGTTGGTCAAGGTTGGACTCGGCGAGTTGCTCTTGGCACTAGACGAGTCGGTGACCATTATGCACCAAACCATTTCTATGAATGGGTAAGTGTTAGGAAGGAAGTCCTTTGTGGGTTTAGACGCGAAAAGGGACCTAGAAGCCATGGGACTCAACGAGTGGTATGAGCAGACTCGGCGAGTCCATATCAATCTCCCAATCTTTGAATATGGACTTGATGAGTTGTTCATACAACTCGGCGAGTCATAGACTGGACAAGTTCTTAAGTTGGAGATGAACTCGACGAGTTCAAGTAGGAACTTGGCAAGTCGGATGAAGATGGTCCTGATGCTATGATTGAAGGAGAACCCGTCGAGTTTTTCCTAGACTCGACGAGTTGAGCCGGGGTTTTGTGTGGGATTCGAGAAGCATGGACTCGACGAGTTTGTAGGCCAACTCAGCGAGTCAGGTCAACTGAATGTTAACTTTGACCAATGTTAACTTTGACTGAACTTGGGCTAACCCTGTTTAGGGTTGTATGTGATATGTGTTGACTTGAAGGTTGTTGTGTAGGGATCAAGGAGTCGTTAGGAGTCAACTTGTGCGCCGAGGATAGTTCAGACAATGCATGATATCGAGGTGAGTTACCTTCCAGTAAGGGTGGGTCTAAGGCCACAATGCCGACCCACCAAGAAGGGGTATTTAAAAGATAATGGTCTTTGTGATAATTATCTTGGTCTGGTTATGTTGGATATGAGGTTTATTTGGATAGTATGTTATGTGTATGGTAGGGTTTAGTTTCCTTGACAGTGGTCCTTAGGACCCAAGGGTAGGTCAGTACCCGGATATGTCTTACTGTATGCTTATATCTGTTGATTGTATGCTAGTGGTAGGGGTGAAATAGTCTCCAGTTACCGGTTGAAAGATACCGATGTTGATTACCGGTTGAAAGATACCAATGATGGCTACCGGTTAAAAGATATTGATGAAGGTTACCGGTTGAAAGATACCGATGATATTGTATGGTATGTGGTGATGGGGGAACTCACTAAGCTTTGTGCTTACAGTTTTGGTTTTGATTTCAGGTACCTTTTCGTCGAAGGGGAAAGAGCCGGCGGTGTAGCAGCGCATCACACACACATGTTTCCGCAATAAGTTTTTGGGACTATACTCTGATTTTTAATACTTATGATGTTATGGTTTGAAATACAACATTATGACTTTGTAATGAAATGTTTTATGGACAAGGTTTTAGTAAAATGTTTATTAAATGCGTTAATTCAAAAATGAAAATTTTGGCCTTGAAATTTGGGTCGTTACAGACAACTCATTCCCTATATTCTTATCTCATTTTTCAATAAAAAAAATTAAGAAAGTATATGATGATAAAATTGGATTTGTGGCTTTCTTATTTGTGGCTTTTCTTATTTATGTAATTATTATTTTAAACTATTACTATTTGGACATGTGTTATATTACTCGCATTCATTTGTAGTGAAATTAACGTTTAGTAACTTGGGAGTTGTAATTATCTAATGTTAAAATTATATGTGGTGGATACAATGTAATTAAGTGGCTATAAATTTATATCATTTAACATATGGGCATCTAATGCATTTCACATAATAGATGGATTCAAATGGATTCCCTGTTGATACATACAATCCACATGGGACCATTAGGTTTTCTTTAAGAAATAAAAATGTACTGAAGTATACCAGCTTATATCTACTATATGGGTTGTTTTTTATTGTGTATTTGAGATTGTGAAACCTTTTAGGTTTCATTGCCAATCTAGTTAACAGAGGAAATAATTTTCAATACCAGTGTACTTTCACTTATAGCATTGTACTATGTAATAGTCACAATTTTGACATATTTGATCATATTCTCTAAAAATTACCATTTATAAGTTTGCTTTTAGCATTGTACTATTTAAAAGTCACAATTACGACATAATTGGCCAGGTTCCGGAAAACTGATATTTTTTAAGTTCATTTATAGCATTGTACTATTTAAAAGTCACAATTACGACATAATTGGCCAGGTTCTGGAAAATTGATATTTTTTAAGTTCATTTATAGCATTGTACTATTTAAAAGTCATAATTTTGATGTGTTTGGTCAGATTCTTGAAAAATGATAATTTTTAAGTTCATTAATAGCATCCTACCATGTAAAAGTCAAAATGTTGAGATATATAGCCAGGTTCTTTTTAATTAGTAAATTTGCTTATTTAAGTATTGTACTTTGAAAGTACATTGCTATAATAAAAGAATTATTATCTATGTGTTAGTCATTTCAATCAAGTAAAACAAGAGAAACAAAAGTGTGTTTTCATCGTCTTAAATGTGGCATTATAGGTACAAAAGAATGTAGTTAGACAGTTTTGATAATTTTGACCATTTAAGTGTATTTTGATCATTTTGCTCAAAATGACCATTTTTCTCATTTCAATTAGTTAAAACATAAAAAATTAGTATTTTCATTATTTTAAACTTTGCATTACATGAACAAAAAAAAAAACACAATAGGACCGTTTTGGTCATTTTGACCATAAGTTTATTTTATCATTTTGGTATAATGCTAATTTTGTTCATTTCAATCGGGTATAAAAAGTTAGTATTCGAGTCATTTTTTAACTTGCCATTATAGATACAAAAGAACACATTTGAACCGATTTGGTCATTTTGACCATTTAAGTTTGGTTTTTTTGTTTGGTCAAAATGGTAATTTTGGTCATTTTTCTCAATTTCAAAACAGAAAAAAAAAAAGTATTTTGGTCATGTAAATTAGCATTACAAATAAAAAAATAATATAAAAGTCTAAACAAAACTTAAATTTTATTAGTTTAATAAAATTTTATAAATTTTTTATTAGTGGTTTCCACTAGTTGTAACCTAATTTTGAATATTTAAAAGATCTAAAAGTAAAATAGGCTGGCTTGCTACTATCAAGAATGTAAACTACTAATGTTCATAAGCTCTTAAATAAGGAGGCGTACATTCATTACATAAATCAGTGAGGATCACACCCATCTCAAATTCTCAATTGTTTATGATTACAAACTGTGGCTAAAGGCTAAAGCAGGAAAAAAAACATCCTATTATCTTATATGGACAAATATATGCATTGAATCACAAAATAAGAATACAATATCTCTATTCCGTATAAGCATTCAACATAATTAAAAAAAAAAAAAAAAGAGTCAATTTAAACATCATAAAAATCAGGATTCAAT